TCATATTTGTCCCCGAGAACTTTAGACTTCATTGTTTGACTACTCTTTTGAATATGGAAAATTATCATCTGTGGTTCTCCATAAAAGAAAAGAAACATTTGCTAAGATGGAAATAAAATATCTCTAGAATGGAAATTACTTGCTAAAGCGTTTAAAATATGATATTTTTATTACATAAAAACTGATGTGACCCTATTTATTCTACAATAGACTGTGTTTTAAAAAATAAAATTAAATACTAACGGAAATAGTGAATAATTACATATCAATCCGTTTGTTCTTTAGTAATATTTTAATTAAATATGCAAATTCATTATAAAATCTTGGAATTTTCTCTCTGAAAAGAAGCCAGATCTACCAGAGGACACTTGCACTGCGGTACTGACTGTGGGATTCACGACTCCTGTGACAGGGGAGAACACAGGACACTTGCTTCGGTGACTTCATTCTCATCACCTCAGCTCCTGAATGTGTTCCTTGACGGTGACACAACTCATTTCCATGAGAGTTCCTTTCTGATCTTTGTAGCACTGGCAAAATTGGAAGAATGATATTTTGCCTGACCTTTGACTGGAGTTTTTATGTATTTTTAAATCTACCACTCATTTGCCTTATCTTGCTTGATGATAGTCTTTCCAATAGGCAATATGAAGACTTAGCTGACTGCTACTGGTATTTTCCTGGGGTTCCTTAACTGTGACAGGGCTCCCTTAGTTTTGTATGAAGCAGAAGGCATCCTGGGAAGGAGGAAGAAGAAGTATTTTAGAATTAGAAGAAAAAAAATGCAGTGCTATCTTTAAGATATTTGTATATGCTATGGTTTCCAGTTTCTTTTTACAATATGATAAAATAAATCTCTGGAAAAGGATTTTAACTCAGGTGTTATAAAATGTATACTGAGAAGAACAATACAATTTTAGAAATTTCTTTGATCAAAGAAAAATTCATAAATTAGCCCCCCGTGACTTTCTGAGTTTAACAGCAGATACTTTAAGCATGAGACTTCATCAGGAAAGTCAGAAATTTTGCCTCTGCTTTGAGTGACTTTGGCAAATTGAGAGGATTTATTGGCTGTAAACATTTCAGTGGGCCTTTGTAAATATAATCCAGTCCCAAGTCTTGACAGGATTTGGCCTGAAGGCTGAGCTTAATCAGGCTTTAATACTCAGATACTCTTTTTGTGAAGAAGTTGCCTGTTCCACCTCTGTGAGCCTCTGAGTTTATAGACTTCCTAGTCATTTTTGCTTATATTCATAAGTTAGGCAATTATTTTCTGAGTTCAATTTTTAAAAATTGTCAAATACAGCACTAATATTTTTCAGTTAAAATCTTCTCTCTCTGGATTAACAAAATCCTCACATACATGATGTATTTTCCAAGTAATCTTTTATGATTGTATACCGAATGTTTTTGCACTTCTTAATTTGATTGCCAGCAACCAATAATATGTCCTCTTGCTCATTAACAGTGAAAAAAAACTCAAGGCAATTTAGAAAATATTTCAATTGAAGTATAAATGGAACACAATAAGACTTTGTGAGAAATTGCTAAAGATTCTTGGAGGAAAATGTACTTTAGTATTTTTAGATTGGATATGTCATGGAAAAGAAAGGAATGAATGTTAACATCCTAATATTTATCTCATTAAAGTAGAAAAATACAGCAAACATACTCGAAGAAAGTCAAGATATAGTAAATAGTATAAATAAGAAATTAATGAAATTATAATTTGATAGTAGCATATAGGAATACCTTAATATTCCTATATATTCCTATATATTACTATCCTATATATATTACTATAGCAATTTTAAATATAATAGATTAATGAAAGGTAATAAATATGTTTTAAAAGATTAGCCATATTGTACTTAGTAGAGTGATAAAATTGGTAAACTTATGGTGAAATAAATCATGAAAAAATAGCAAATAGCAATATTAAATATTGGAAGAAGTTATCTGTAGGTATTAAAAACAGTAAGAAGACATTTTTAAAAAATTATATAGTATAACTATGAAAAATTGAGAAATATCTAGAAAGTCAAAAGCAAGAGACATAAGCAACATAATAGGTCTAGAACAAAATTATGCAAATGTGCCAAAAATTAATTACGTATTAAAAATGTGAATAGCATTTTTATCATAATAATTCCCAAAAAAACCTCAAAAGTGAAATTCTAGTATAATACATAAATTATGAATACTCATCCCATTAATATTGCTCACCATAAATTGATCTATTTTCTTGCAGCATAAGTAATTTACAGAAATTCTATTGATCAAATTTAACAAAATGCAAAATAATATGTACCATATTATTCCTTTTATATACAATTTAAAACCATACAAAACCACCTAGTGTTCAGGGATACCTAGTAAAATGTAAAAGATATAAAATAAGACAGCAATTGCAATTACTAAACAATTCTTAAGGAGGTTTCCAGTCAGAAATGAAAATGTCAAGGGCTCTTACGTTTTACAAATTCTACTCTGATGACTGGGAAGGTTTTTACATTAGTGTATACTTCCAAATAGAGCACATAGTCTTAACTAAATGCTCTGTGTATGTTATATATCAAAAGAAACAAGAAAAGAAATATTTCTCAACAAATGTTTTGAGGCTAGAAAATCCTAACAGCAAATCTGATAAGTACAATGTGAGAAGTAAAAATAAAATCTCTACACTCCTTATAAACAGAGATGCAAATATTTTAACACAATACTGCAAATCAAACCAAGGAATGCTAGAGAAGTGTAATACATCATGCTCAAGATAGATTTATCTCAGTATTGTAAGCTTTCTTGAATGCTAGAAAATTAATATGACAAAATATTAGGTTGTAAGGCATATGTAGTAGAGAAACTCATGGAGCATAAATAAAAATCAACAAAATAGGACATCTGAGTAGAAAATTTTAATACAAAAGCAAATCCACAAATCTACAGGGAACTTTTTAATTCTTTTTTTTTAGGAAACTTCATTCTCAATAAAGGTGGAATATTGCATGCATTTTTTCAGAACCAAGGGTAATATATATATAGGAATGCACACCATCAACTTTTCAATTTGACATTAAACTCTGAGTCCTGACTGGAACCCTCATTAACAATTGTTTGATAACTGCTATCGTGTTTTATTTTATATCATTTACACTTTAGTAGGTACCTCTAAACACTAGGTTAGCTTTGTGTGGTTATAAAAGGAATGATACTGTACATATTACTTTGCATTCTTCAGCTACTGCATAATGCATGAAAAACAATCCTTTGTATACTGTTAGCATGCAAAGTCATATGAGGATATCAGGATACTTTAAGTAAAGAATAGGAAAATATTAAATGTCTATATCTCATATGATTATTTCTATAATCTATGGAAAGGGCAATCCTTTCCTCATCTCCTATTCTTACATTTTACTGCCTTTTTCTTTTCAATTCAGACTTCTAAAAAAAATCTTTCTCTGGTTTTCTTGTGGAATCTGTTCTTCTCCCATAGAAATGAAACACCATTTTTCTTTGGTCTGCCTTTCTAAAGTGCTCTTTTATGGAAATACACCAGTCATTTGTAAGGGCAAACTATAAATCTTTATCAAATACTATGTCACAGATTCCATAGCTATGATATTTTTTCATGTGCCAGCACTGTCTTGTCTGTCAGGTGATGTATTTGTGCAGATTCTTGGTGATAACTCTTTCTAGGTAACCAGGAAGAACATTTCATTTGCTCAAATAATAAAAAGGCGTAAAGAATTTCTTCAGGCTTGGGCCAAAAGTGTAAGTGAAAAGCCGTATACCACGTATCTAAATAAAGTCATAAAAGCTAGAATTATGTTTATAGGAAATATTCTATCTTAACAGTTATACTATCAAAATAATAAAAGGGAAAATAACTTCATTAGTATTTTAAACTATGAAATTTGCAAATCATCAAAAATGATACAATTAAATTACTTTGTGTGTCTGAGTGTTTTATAGTTCACCTAGCAAATCTTACATGAATAAGTTACATTTATAGTTCATATCTAGATTTATAAGCAAATTAACTATTTATTGCACTATCATCAGGATAAAAATAGCATTCTGTTTACATGAATGTTGAGTTAGGTCATCTATTTGCATGTCCACATATTCAGAATTTTTCTGATTTGTTTTCTTTCCCTAGGGTTGTTAGAGGGTGGACAAACTTTGCCCTTCATAATAAATATCTTTTTTTCCCTTTGGTTATAAAGTTCGAAACTTATGGCAGAATGTCGTTCTATATCTTGTAGTTGTTCTTGATATATCAAATTCATTTTTGTTCATGTCTATGTTTGGAGAGCAATGTGAGGGGGAAAGCAATAAAACCAGCAAGGATTTGATGTCTGGGGAGCATGGAAGGGAGCCCCGGCGAATGGTGAATAGCGGCGGTGTAGAAGACTAGTGCTCTGTGCATGAATTTTTCTCTATTCCCAGGACTGACCACGTGATGCCTCCATGCACAGGAAATTAATGACTTTTTGAAATAAGTCAGCCCTGTCTTTGCATGTTTCATAAATGGTCAGTGATAATCCTGATAAACACTGATGCTTAATTTAGCTGAATATTTTATCAACCAGATCTCTATACACCTTAGAACTTCAGCTAGTAGAACTGAAATTTCTGCCACTGAAGCAAGGCAAAAGCATAAAACAGTGAAAGAGAATCTATCCTGATTTGCATGTTAGCAAATATGAATATAATTTTGTTTCATAATCATCTATGAAATATATTTCAGTTTGTCTTAGGGAACTAAAACTCTTGAATAAGGCTTGACAGAAAAATTCGAGATAAAAAGATTTCACCAGATCTATCTTCATAATAAATACAAACCTTGGAGATTTTGACTTGGCATTAGACAGACGGTTAAAGAAGGCACAAGAGGAACAGGAGGTGGACAGACTTGGCCGTACATTTAAAGACTCTGGTGACACTTCAGATCAGCAGGTAACCATCAGTGGTATTTGATTTTGAATTTTCTCAGTTTGGACATGGAAAGTGGCCTGCAAAGCCTCCTCAACCTCCTGATAGTTGTGCAGTTCATAACTGGGAACTTGAGCAATGGATTTATAGTGCTGATAAATCTCATTGACTGGGTCAATAAACGAAAGCTCTCATCAGTTGATCAAATCCTCATCATCCTGGCAATTTCCAGAATTGGAGTGATCTGCGAAATATTAGTAAGTTTGTTAAAACCTCTTCATTATTCATTTTCAACTGTGGATAGAGAAGCAATAAAAATCGCTACGTTTACCTGGGTAGTTTTCCATCATTTCAGTCTCTGGCTTGCTACAATCCTCAGCATTTTTTATTTGCTCAAAATAGCCAGTTTCTCCAGGCCTATTTTTCTCTACCTCAAGTGGAGAGTAAAAAAAGTGATTCTGATAATACTGCTAGGAACCTTGCTGTTCTTGTTTTTGAATATGATACAAATAAACACACATATTGAAGACTGGAAACATGGACGTGAAAGAAACACAACTCGGAATTCCACAGTGAGTGACTCTGCATCGTTATCAAAGCTCATCATATTCAACATGACCATGTTCTCCCTCACACCGTTTCTCGTGGCCCTGATCTCTTCTCTGCTGCTTATCATCTCCCTATGGAAACATCTCCAGAAGATGCAGCTCAACTGCAAAGGACACAGAGATCCCAGGACCAAGGCCCATATCGATGCCTTGAAAATTGTGGTCTCTTTCCTCCTACTCTACACCAGTTACTTTCTGTCTCTCTTCCTGTCATGGGTTTTTCAGATGCCTCAGAGTGGCCTGGTCCATGCACTTTCCCTGACTATTTCACTCATCTATCCTTCAGGCCATTCACTTATCCTGATTCTGGGGAACTCTAAGATGAGGCAGGCTTTTCTTTTTGTGCTGAGTCAGTTAAAGTGTGGGACAAAGGATAAGGATCAAAGGATCACAACTCTATAAGCCATTCCAGCCATATGTTCTAAATCTTTTAAAAATAAACTATTTCAAAGATAGTTTATTTTTCCTCTCAGTTTCTTTCATTGTGAAAATCACTGTGAAATTTTTAAATGAATATCTGTAATGTATAGCATCTTTGTTGTGTACATTTTTATATTATTGACAATTTAAAGCTTAAACTGAAAGGTCCCCTTACCTCTTGAAAATATCTGCTCTAGCCAACATTTTCTTAATTATGAACCCCAGCCTTTTGACTATTTATGGCCCTTCATTTCTAAACCACTCATTGAGAATGGATATTTGGGATAATTATTTTAATGTCTTATATACTTCTAATTACTTAGTGGATTAAGGATAACCAGAAGTTATTTAGAATAGAAATAGAAAAATCTTAGATTTTTGGCTTTTGCTAGCACTAATAATATGGGAACACTGAGAGGATCGAGTAGTTTAGTTTCAATAGTTGCAATGTAAAACAATAACTTTATTGATAATTATATTGGAAATATGTTCAAGGATATTTTAAGTAAATATTGTCTAGGTGTAATTTACCTTAGTTAGTGTGTCAATGTGTGCACTTTTGGTTATCATATCAATGACCTTTGCAGTCCATTTTCCCTTTGCCATCTCATGCACCAGGACAACTACTTACTTGGTTTTGGTGACTGTATCTCCTTTTGTTAGGCATGGTTTATACCTGAGTGGTATTTGCAGTAGAATTCCTGAGTACAGTAAGATATACAACATTTCAGAAAATTTTTTTACTTGTTGAAGACCTTTTTTTGTGTGTGTGCTTTAGTCTTCATGTAACTTGTTTTATGAATTTGCCTAATATTTGATTTGGTTCATTGTTTTTTGTAGTTTCTTTTTCTTAAGTCTGGTGTGTGTGTGTGTGTGTGTGTGTGTGTGTGTGTGTGTGTGTAGTATGGATATTTATCAGATACAAGTTTTGTACATATTATCTAAAATCCAGTGGCTTGTCATTTCTTTTCTTTCTTGAAGTATCTTTCAAAGAGTAAGGTAATCGTTTATGATAACTTTAAAAAGTTTTATAGTAAGTTTCAGGCTTTATGTGTAAGAAGGTAACTCATTCCAAATAGAATTTCATTTGCAATATGAAGTCAGGACTGAGGTTCATTTTCAAAGTTCAGAGATCCATTTATTTTTCAGCACTGTTTCTTAAAAAGTTTATCCTCACTCATTATTTCAACACTGTGTTGAACCATTTGATCATCTTTGGGTAGATTTATTTCTGGTTCTTTTGATTTGTATGTCTACACTGATGTAGATTAAATACTTTTTTGATTACTTCAGTTTAATACTACATCTTGAAATACAATAGCTTTCCAACATTGCTTGTTTTTTCTAGACTGTTCAGTTTTTTTTTGTTCCTCTGGTCTTTTCTATACATTTTAGATGTTATCATTTCCCTTTAAAAAACCTCCTGGAATGTTGATTGGTGTTGTTCTGAGCATCTAGTTATGCACTGGGAGTAACCAAATCCTTGACAATATCGAGCATATCAACACATGAGCATTTCATATCTTTTAATATGTTTGGGTCCATTGTAGCTTTAAAGATACAATTTTTAATCATAGTTTGTTATGTTCTCATGTTTGTGTGGCTACAATAAATGGTACTTTTAGAAATTCTAAATTCTAACTGTTTCTGGTGTACAGAATCACAATCAAGTTTTGAGTGACATGTTTTATTCTCTAGGACCTTGTCATATTGTCTTGTTAGTTCTAGTAATAAACGTTGGAGATCACTTGAGATTTTGTATATTTAGTCATGTTATCTATAAACGAAGATATTTTGTTTTCCCCCTTGCCATCTTCATACTTTTAGTTTTTTGCTTTATTTTTAAGACAGTATACTCTCAGACACTGATGAGTATAAGTGATGAAAGCACAAATTCCTTCCTTGTACCCAATAGGATAAAACATCCAGTTTTACATCATTAATACGATGTTACCTATGTATTTTTCAAAAACGCTCTTAATCAGTTTTAGAGTTTCCATTTATTCCTAGTTTGAGAGTTTTTTTTGACTGGGTGCTGAACTATGGCAATTTTTACTCACCTGTTGAACTTATTATGAGATTTTTCTACTCCATTTTGTGAATATGGTAAATTGCATTGATTTACTTTTAATGCTGATTCAGGCTTATGCTTCTAAGATAAATTTTATTTGGCCCACGCTGTTATTTTCTTTTCAGTATTTTCTCTGGTTTTGTTATCAGATTATTTGTAATGTACTGCACTACATTCCAGAAATCATTAACCGGAATAGATCTGTTTCTTCTTCTAGTTTATATTCAGACCTTGTTATTAAAAATCTCTTCCCTTTAGTTGGAATTCTACTGTTGGGGTCAAAGTTATTGAAGCTCTTCTTGGAGTTGGGATCTCCAAGAACATTCATTTCTAGCAACACAAAATCAGTGCTACTCAGGGTATCCAGCATGGGAGACTGGACTACATGATCAGGAAGGGGAACCAGGCCTTGTTGACCTCTCCTAAGAACAGGAGCAGAGATAGAAGGCTGCCCCCTCCCTCGTTTGCATGCAGAAATGCTCGCTCACAAATCCCCAGGGTAGAACAACATCATCAGCTGAGGGCTAAACAAGGAAAATTATGCATCTGGGTTTGAGTTTATTCGTTAATCACTGATAGTTTCTTGAACCTTGAATTGCGTGATTGCTACACTTCCTTGTTTTACTAATAAAAATGGTACTTTCCAGACCTTATTTTCTCGTCAAAGGAGCCCCCTGGCACCCCTTGCTTGAAAATTTGTTTCTGTCTCTTTTATTCCTCATCATACGCCCTAAATCAGTTTGTAGGCCGGCTCCTGCAATCCAGACTTTCCTTCTGAGACGGAGGAGGGAGATGGGGTGAGCAATGAAAAGAATAGCTTGCCAGCCCAGAGCTTTGGGGCAGTGGCATTCTGTTTTTTTCTCCGGCTGCCTACACAGTGTTCATCATTTTCAAGGGTCATTAAATTAAGTGTTGGATGTGGAAGGTTCTCCTAAATATCTGCATGTATGTTCATTTTGCTCAGCTTTTCCATGACCAAGAGAAAATGAGCACACACTTGTGAAAATATTCAACATAGAAACTAAAGGTGTGTTTCTCTAAAGCCCCAGACCAGGGCTAGACTGTGGCTCAGCTTTAAAAATTGTAGAGGTAGACCTAGTTTGGTGAGCACTGTGAAGAAAAATTGGGAACACAGCTACTGTCTTGTGAGGACAAGGTTCCGTGTCCAGGTGTGACAGATCAAGGCTTTTAGAAAACAAAACCTTAAATTTCATGTCTGAAACAAACAAGCCTACAAGAAAATCCTGCAGGTCCTTTTGCTAGCATTTGGAGAACTCAAAGCAAGAAGGCGAAGGAAGCAAAACTATATTCTACCAACCTGCACTGTAAAGGTTAATTATAACAGGAACTATTTATTAGTGTTTTCTTCAGACCAAACTTACTGTGTATGCCTGATTATCATTGTCATCTCACTTATGCAGAAGGGATAACTGAGCTCAGGCTAAGGTTTGTACAAAGGTCATCAGCGTCCAGGAGCCAGCTAGGCCCAGGGCCTGTGTTCTTCCTACTGTACCTCAATGCTTCCTCACTGTGTCATAGAAAGTGGGAGAGAATGTGATTCAGAGAATGAACAGCAGTGCTTAAATTAGGACATGGCCAAGGTGCAACTTTTACTGAGCTTTAACTGATGGGGTGAGATGTATTCTTTTCCTAAAGAAATGAGTTTTTAAATTTTAAGTCATAGGCACAATCCCATAGGCTTCTCATATCTTGTTTCTTTCTCCCTTTCTTAAGAAGATGCTCACATGCATTTGTTCTTTTATTCTGCAGTCATGAACACAGCTCATGCACATTTCCTTCCGCATCCTTACATGTGTGACTATGGGAAGCATACTAACATTAACTACTCTTGAAGATGCCCTTTTAAAAAAGAATCGAGATGTTTTATGTACATGCACCACCTCCCCACAAAGGATGTAGTCATTATGTGATGCAAATGTGTAGTAAAAACTGAGAAAAAAATTTATGATATATTATATGGATGTACCAATTCCTCATGGTGAATGTAATTGTGTACTGAAAACATGTACTAATAAAAACTTTTAAAAATTAAAAAAATAAATGGGCTGAACTTTATTTCTTCTAGTCTCAGTGGATACATAATTCTAGAAAGCTGAGAGGGAGACTGATCAAAGAGATGTCATCAAAACATGAATCTATGAATTCTTCCTGTGTTTTTGGTCTCTGCCTAAGAGAGACTCCCACATGCTCCATGTAGAGCTTGGATTACCTTGTTAGATGCTTAGGGCTGAAGGAGGCCCTGCTCTCTGTCCCTAGGAGAAAGGAGGTGGTTGCAATCACAGTTCACCATTATCTCATAAACATCAGAAGTTGACACTTCTTTTGCATTCACAGACAAATATAATAATAGCTTCTTTCAAATGAGATACAAATCATCATAAATATACTTCTTAAAGATATGCAAAAGGCAGAGAAACACACATTCTTAAATTGGAGATTTACTTCAAGTGATTAATTCACTTTTCCTTAAGGTGCACATTATATTTTCTTCTTAACAGGGAACTTTTTTTGCTCTTGTTTAAGAACATTGGTGGAAGCCGGGTGTGGAGGAGCTCACCTGTAATCCCAGCACTCAGGAGACTGAGGCAGGAGGATCATTGTGAGTTCGAGACCAGCCTGGGCTATAAAATGAGTTCAAGGCCAGCATGAACTGCATAGCAAGACCCTGTCTCAAAAAGAAAAAAAAAAAAAAAGAACATCGGTAGTACACTATGATATAAATGCATTTTATTATTTCAGGATGCACAGTTACTAAGGCTAAATCCTGAATATTGCTATTTGTGATGGATTATATTTTTCAAAGAATGAGCACTGCAGTTTCTCTCCTGTCATGATAGCTTTTTACTAGGGGACCTGGTGTCTTGTCTGTAAGGTTTGAGATCTTTTTCAT